CTGATTAGGCTCTACCCACTTAATAAAGTAAAAGAAACACAATATTAACTCCTGGGTGGTCCACACAACATTAAAATTTTTTTTTCTGATCCATATCTGTGAAAAGGTTCATCTTATTTCTCTTCTTTGCATCCTTTTCTTACCCACTTTTGGCTTCCTTTTGGCCAAGGATTCTGGTAATTGCCAAAGAAAATACAGCTGAAGTGATGGCTCACTGCAGCTTCTGACTCATCCACTCACATTAAGAGCCTGTTTCAGTTGAGGCACTTGGTCAGCGTGGACTGTCTCTAGTCCTTTTTTTTCCACCCAGCTTGCTCTGCCAGCCCTGCTGTGGGGCCCACACCATTTGCCCCCCAAGTGTCCCTCTAATGAGCTCTGAACCAATTCCACTAGGTGGACAAAATATGCCTTAGATGACATTAAGTTTAAAGTTCATATTACATGAAGTTCACAAAGAAGTGATAAAAATTTGAGTTTTGAGGAGATTCATGGTGACTAGTGTCCAAATATCATAGGGTAGGCCCACCCACATATGAATTAAATTTTGCATATGTGTTTGTAAGAGTCCATGCTGAGCAGTAATTAAGGGCCACTGGAAAAATTGTTCTGGACTTTGAGGTCATAAAAGGAAGCCTCTGGCAATCTAAGGAAAATCTTTCAGACTGCAACACTGGCAGAAAGGAAGCAAGTAACCAAAATGTCTGAAAAAGCCAGATAGACCACAAAAAGCATTCACATTAAAAAAAAAAAAACTCTACCTTGGTGGCCCTCTGCAAGTCTTGCTCTAAAGGGAAACACAGACAGCTGGATTAGAAAACAGACATCAAGTGAACATGGATTCCTTACATACAATATTCCCCGGCAGGAAGATGAGAATAACAGAGCTATAGAGAAGAGAAATGTTTAAGTTCGATGGTTCTGTACGCAGACTTACATGGGGAAAATAGGCTAAGACATGATGGCCTGGCAGAACGCTCCTACAGGCCAGAGCAGGAGACATGGGAGCGGAAGAAACCCATAAGGTAATTCCCAGTGGGAAGGACCTTCAAAGTCTGGATGCCAGGGAGCATGGTGTCATCATACCCTTTACTGCAGCACAAGAAAGGGCACATCCAAGGTGCCGAGCTCAAAAGTCACAAGGCTAGAAAAGACCATGAATTTTTATTCTGAGATGTTTATCCATCTGCATTTTAATAAGGAATATGGTAAAATTACATACACGTCTGCCTTTTAATACCAACCTCTAAGTTGGTATTAACCTCTTCAGAGGCCTCAGTTACCTCCGCTGTGAGGGAGCTGGTGAAGCAGATGATTTCTAGGTTCCTGCCAGTGTGTGAGGGAAGATCGTGTCTATGAAAAACACTCGCTGGCTATAAGTTCAGATATCTACGTCTTCCTGGGATGCCACTTGACCTCTGCCTACTCTGAGACTATCACTGTAGCATGCCAACAGTGAGCCATTTGTGGCATGAAGCAGAAAGAACAAACACTATTTCTTTTCTTTTTTTCTTTTTTTATTTATTTATTTTTTTGCTTTTTTGGTCACCCAGTGATGCTCAGGGGTTACTCCTGGCTCTGCACTCAGGAATTACTCCTGGCACTGCTCAGGGGACCATATGGGATGCTGGGAATCAAACTCGGGTCAGCTGTGTGCAAGGCAAACACTCTACCCAGTGTGATATTGCTCCAGACCCCAAACACTATTTTTTTTTCATTTTTTTTGGTCACACCCAGCAATGCACAGGGATTACTCCTGGCTCATTCGCTCAGAAATTACTCCTGGTGGTGCTCGGGTGACCATATGGGATGCTGGGAGTCAACCTGGGTCAGCTGCATGCAAGGGCAAACGCCCTACCAACTGTGCTATCATTCCAGCCCCACAAACACTGTTCCTTAACGTCTCTTCAAAATGGTATTGTGTCAACTTAGGAGATAATAAAAATCAGGCACAAAATGAAAAAAAGATAAAACTTTCTATGGTTCCTCCTAGTAAGAGAAAGAGGCCACTGGAGACTATTCTTGCCCTGTTGTCACATGCTTCTAGACTGACTTAAGTGGAAGGAGAGGCAGCTGCAGAACAGCATCCCCAGGAAGCTCTGGCTGGAAATGGAGCTGCTCCTGTGTGGCCTGGGTAACCCTGGGAGGCTCAATGAGCTAGAAGATTCAGACTGGAGAGCTAGCTCTTCCGGTTACCAGGTGTCTCTGGGCAGGACACTTGGCCCCTTCTCAACACAGCTCTCTATTTTTAAAGTAGCAGTAATTCTACATATTTCTTCTACCCCCAAAATATCAAATCACTGAACATGTTTATTTAAAAAGTCAAGCTCTGGGAAGGAATGGCATAGGCAATTACGAAGTGAGTTCAATGATGAAGAGCACAGATTTAACAGCTTAAAAAAATCAGCATATGTCCTTTCAGATGAATGTATTTTTTGCTTTGGAGATAGAAGCACACCAATGTTCACTGCTGCTCTTAGTACAATACCCAAGATATGGAAATAACCCAAATGCCCAACCATGGATGAATGGATCAAGAAGATGTGGTATAAATACACAATGGACAATGCAGCTCTAAGGAAAAACAAAATCATGCCATTTGCAGCAAGCTGGATAGAACTAAAGGATCTCGTGTTGAGTGAGGTCGGTCACAAGGGAAGGAGCAGATACAGAATAGTCCCTCTCACAAGTGGGACTTAAAGATACATAACAAGGAAGCAGTAAAGAGCCACAAGCAACACAATGAGAGAAGGAATGTACACAATTTAGTGGGGTGAGGGGAGAGAGGGAGGGGTGCTGGGGTTTCTGGGGGAGGGAAATGAGAACACTGGTGATGGGTGTGGTGATGGAATTACGAACATGAGACAGCACTATTAATAGTACTGTGAACCATAAATCTCTTTATTTTTTAAGAGACAATCAGCATCATGATTAGATCATGGCAAGTGGGAGGGAGAGTCTTACAGCCAGACTGACAAAGTGGGTCATCGGAAGGGCCAGGGACTCTGGATGCCAGGCATGCCCAAAGGACAGTTGCCATCCGCCCAGTGCAATGAGCTCAGCTCAGCAAGTATAAGAAGTGGAAACTGACTCCGATTGACGGTGGGAACCCGGTTTCGGTCTTCCTTCGTTTCTTCTTCACTTTCTGTTCTCCCACCCTGGCTCTGCCTCCTCTTCTTTCCGTACAGTTAGATTTCTTGCATTTTGGCTTAGACAGATACAGCCTTCACATCTAGCTTTCAAATCCAACTATTTAAACTAAGTACTAAGGATGAGGGAATCAATTGGTGTGACCAAGTGAATATGTCTTCACACTGGCAGGCCAGGTACTCGCTCACAGCATAGCTTCTGAACACAAGCAGCTGTTTCCAAAGCTTCGACCACAGAGAGATGTGGAACGGGAGGTGGGGCTGCTGTGTGTGAACTGACAGATAGAACAGCCAATCGGGGGTCTCTCTGTCTCTTTTCAAACTTCCCTTTTATGTACTGATCCTCCCTCAAGCCTCCTTAGTTTTTCCAACTGACAAAAGAGCCATATACTGAGTGTAAATTACAATGTATGTTTTTCCTTTGCTATCTTATTACACCTAAATATTTATTCCTTAGAAATATAATCCGGCAACAGTGGATTTGTCAGAAAACTGACAAGTACAGGCTGAAGGATTTATTACGGAGGTGTTAACAAGGACAAGATGAAGAGGACCGAATTTAAGACAAACAATATTAAAAATGTTATTATGTAGGAAAGGACTTTCTTTTACAAAATGCTGTGTTAGAAATATCCTCTTGCAATTCAAGACAGGTTCTTTCTGAGTATGATTAAGGTTAAAAAAATGTTTAAACATTACAAGAGAGAACCATGACCCCAAACTAGCTATTTTCCCATAAACAATTTAGAAACTAACTTAGACACACATCTAGAGGGTGGTAATTATTATATTTGAATGCTTTGAGTGTACCTCTATTCCAAGCAATTTTTTCTTTAGGTGCTTTACAGACATCCATAGACCTTGGAACAAGGGAGCATTATTTACCCACTTTCAAAAAGTAAGAAAACTGCGAAGTTAAGTAATATTCCCAAGGTCATATATGCAGTAGAGGATAAAGGCAGGCCCCAAACATTGATCTGTCTGTCTCCAGAGTCTGTGCTTATTAAATTACAGTAGGCTGGCTCTACAGTTAACTTTTTAAAAGTCTTTGCTTGCATTTCTTTTCACTTCTAAGACTGCTGATTGAGGGGGAATGGGAGCAATAGAAAGAGCATCAGCATGAGATGTTCAAAGACAGGAGAGAAGGAAAAAGGGAACACCACCTCACTTCCCATGCTTAGGTCCTGATTTAAGAGCAAACTAATGCAACAAGGGCCGCATTTCACAAGTTCATCTACCATATGGCCTTACTGTTGGCAGAGGGAGAAATGGTCAGAGTGTGAGGCCAGGAATGCCTCACCCCACTTCGATGTTGCAAAGCGGGGACCCGTCTACCCTGAAGGAGCAAGCAGGATCTCAATCCCGAAATCTGCTGACATCGCCTGTCCTGGTCTTTTCTTTGTCTCTTCCTCTTATTCTGAGGACCACAATGCGAGCAAACAGCAGAAGAGACAGGAATCATCTGGATCATATTAGCTGCTTGCATGATGCTATTTACATTTGTGAAATATGGTATCGCGAGATCACATTTAGTACAACTTTTCTTTAAAAATAGTTTTATTCGTGAATCCATTTTTATTGGTTAGAAGAAAAAAACAAAATGGATCATATACTTAAAAGCAGAGGGGAGGAGGGAAAAGAAAAAGACATACCATTCTAGAAATGTCTAGCAAGCAAATACCCCAAGAATATTTATCCAAGTGGTTACCCTGGGATATCTGAGGGGAAACGTGAAAGCAATTTTCTTGGCTATCATCACTTTAATATGAAATGTAAACCCCAAATGCAACCACAGGCACATTCCTTTAATTTGGGGGAAGCAGAGTTGTGTCTAGGGAGTGCAAAGGTTCTTACCTGGCATGACCATGGTCTGTGGAGCAGCAGCGTCGGTACTGAGACAGAGACGTCCGCCTTTGGCCAACCTGTCGCAGAACAAGGTGATGTGTTTCTTCAGCCGGCTGGTGTCTTTGGGGATGCCCAGGTGGCTGCTGAGGTTCAGAGCCTGCTCCTTTGAGCTCTTCGACAGACAGGTTTTTAGAAGGTGAGAAATGGCAGCGTCCACTGTTTCTTCCCATCCCTAGATGTGAAAACCAACGTTCAATTGGAACAGATGCCAAATGAGCCAAATCAGTATTGACTATTCATCAGTAAAATTATACAGCTTATGACTGTTTATGTCCAAGTGTGAGGGATTTGGGAAGGGTTTGATGTCTGGAACATTCCAGATGAGTCTGGTTCTGAATTTTATCCTGTCAGCTGTTTGACCTTGAGTAAGGTATGCCATTCTTTTTAGTATCAGCCTTGCCTATAAATGGGAATAGTTTGTACCTCCAAGGATTGGAGTGAATAAATGAGGCGGTATATAATAGTAGTCAGTCCTGAGCCAGACATAAATAATAAAATAGCAACAATTATTTTCTCAGATGCAGGTCAGTTCATGATGCAAGGTAAACTGAACCTGCTTTTTGCCTCATCAGTCTGCTGAATAAGAGTTGACCAGGACAAGGAGGATCTTCATGTTTCTCGGGGAGAGTCTTTCATAACTATTGGCAACACAGCTGTTAGGTGTGCAGATAGAAACTGGCTGAGTTAATCTTAGGAGTCATTGTGTACGATACATGAGTAGATCAAGTCCCAGTTCCAGGAGACAAAAAAATGTGACTGCTGCCCAGGAGACAAAAAAAAAAATCTGACCCAAATAAAGAAGTGGGCTATCTACCCCTACTTCTGTTGGGGGTGTGCAGCAAGGTCCTCAAGTGCAGTGACAGCTTAGCACTGTGAACCTCCCAAATTGATGACTAAGGATGTTGAGCAGGGGCCCTGTCATTGTTATAGGAAGCACTAGGACCAGCAGGCCTGGGACAAAGAGATATGTCCCTCAGGCCATAAGAGGACTAGAAGCTAACCAAGTCTGTTTATAATCTAGCACAACCATTTCTGGGGAGTCCCTAAGATGACTAGTTAGATTCTGGGGGCATCTGGAGATGCTGAACAGCACATCGTGGATGTGCTAACGAGGTCTGTTTTATATACATCTATACATACAGAAATGCTGTTTCTATGTTATCTAACAATAACAATGTTATTGTCCAGGTGTCCATTGGACTCAGAGACAACGAAGACCGAGACGGCATGTGCTTAGAAATCTGGTAAAATAGGAAAGGAGACAACAAATGAATTCATTATCATTGACTCCTGCAGAGAAGAGGTGAAAGACTGCAGACAGGAGAAGGAGTTTCTGGATACTTGGCAGTTACAACCACTCCATCCCAACTTTATCAGCTGCACCTCCTGCCAGATATGAAAACAGGATCAGGTTACTCCTACACTTCAACCGCTCACCTACACACCCAGCTTACAATAGACAGAAGGTGCACTCTGTTTGTCTGAGATTTCCAGACCTTTTCTCTTCCGATCCACCTTCACCCATGCTTTCACCCAGGTATCCACAAACACGTGGCTCTCCCGCTGCATATGCCTCATATGATTCATTGGGGGAGAGGGGGGGCAATGTCCACATATGATTCAGCTAATATTGAGCCCTGATCATGCATGGATTAAATTTGTGGATCTCTTCTGGGACTCTGAGAAATCATGCACCCTATCCCCTCACAGCATGTCTTGCCCTGCACAAATTATTACTGTTTCTACCGTTAGCACTTGTGCTTGGTAAGTAGAGGGGTGAGAGAAAAAATGCATTGGCTATACTGAGAGATACAGAATCAGCATCTTAAAGTTGGGAGTGATCATATAAAGTTGGGGTTTTCACAGGGCCTTTAATACAAGAGCAGCTGTTTACCTAGGTTGGTCATGACTACCTTCAATCTCAAGGTAGCTACCTTGCAGGTCTCTCCTTTCAGGCACACGTATCACCAGCAGAATGCCTTTCCAGTGCTTCCTTCCTTGGCCCTTCCTCTGCCTACCACCAACCCGGGCCATGCAGAATCAATCAAACCTCTCTCCTACATGACAGCCTTGGAGATCTGAGAAGACATCATTTCTGTAACCCTCTCCTCCAGAATAAACATCCACTGTTCCTCCAGCTCTTCCTTGTATAAACATGGTTTCAAGTTTTCTCTTCATTCTGACCACTTAGCTTTGAATACTCTCCAGTTTTACACACTTAAAAATTTACACAGCAAAGAAGAGAACCCCAAACTGAACCCAAGGACCCCTGGCAGGGGCTGGAAGTATAGGACAACACAAAGCAACTGCAAAGCAACTGAAGTCTGAGCAGAACTGTCCAACTCGATTGGCGCCCATGAGTGAATCTCATAATACCACAGATCAGTGGGTGCAGTTTCCAGAGGCTGAATAATGGAATAATGTTTTACAAAGAAATGTCTCATGACATAATACAGAAGGCAGAATAGCCTTCCTTCAGAAAGCATCACCTACCCTGGAATTAACCCAGAGCAGAAATGGCAAGACAAGCTTATACCCCACATCAGAGGCCATCAAGGAACTGCACATTAAACCAGAAATGAGTTTCCTGCTGTGCTCCTATTGGGATGATTGAAACCTGAAGCACTAAGCACCAAATATTGGTGATGATGAGGAGCACAAGGGATTTTCCCTCACTGCTAGTGGGAATACCAAATGACAGTCACTTTGTTTACATGCCAGGCAAGCACCCTATACACTAGACTATCTCTCCAGCCCTGATCTCTCCAGTCACTCTAGAAAACAGTTTGGTAGTTTCTTATTAAGTTAAACTATTCATAGCCTATGTTCTAGCAATGCTGCACTTTAGTATTTATCTGAAAATGTTAAAAAAAAATCTCATCTACTCAAAAATCTGCACATAGATGTTGAATAACAGTTATAATAACAAAACTGAAGCAACTGTCTGTCCTGCAACAGATGAGTTGAGAAATAACTGTGGTACATCCAAACCATGGGATTTTATTGAAGAAAAAAAGAAACCCACTATCAAGCCAGGTAAGGACACAGAAGGACAGAAGTTCAGAAGACAATATGGCGAGGTTGTATCACATGTCACTGAACTTTGTGGCACATCTGGACAGGACCAAACTGTAGAGGCAGGCTTGAATAAGGAGTTCAAGGACTTCTAGAGAGTAAGGGTTGAATGGCTGGAGCACAGGGGATTTGGGGGGGCAGTGAATCTATTCTGTACAATAATATAATGGTGGATGCCTTTGTCAAAACCCATGGAACTATGGACATAAAGAATAAGCCTCAAATGTAAACCAAGAACTTTGGTTAATAATAATGTATCTCGGAACTGGAGTGATAGCACAGCACGTAGGGAGTTTGCCTTGCACGCGGCCGACCCGGGTTCAGTTCCCAGCATCCCATATGGTCCCCCGAGCATCGCCAGGAGTAATTCCTGAGTGCAGAGCCAGGCGTAACCCCTGTGCATCGCCGGGTGTGACCCAAAAAGCAAAAAATAAAAAAAATAATAATAATTTATCTGCTTTGGTTCACTAGTGTGAACAAAGAAATTTCACTAATGCAAGATGTTATTAACAGGGAGAACAGGATAGGCAAAGAGACAGACAACAGGCAGGAACTTGCTATAGTTCTTGCTTAATTTGTACATAAACCTAAAACTACTTTTAAAAAGATCGTTAGGATACACACACACGCACACAAACACACAACCCCTCACCACCACTACTACCATCATCATTATCTCTACCACCAGCATCAGCAGAAAACTAAAGAATAAATAACTAACTAAAGAATGATAACCTTCCAGAGATATAGTCATCAAAATCACAATAAAAAAAGAACTAAAATATAATTGCATCTGAACAAGAGTGGGAAGAGTAAATTAAGACCAAATGATTTGTCATTGGAGAAGGCATATTTTAAAGTTACTTTTGGTGCCATTAATAAAGACATGTAAAGTATACATTGGAAAGATTCTTTGTATATAATTTGGCATTTGTGTGTTATTTCAGCACTACAGTTCCTATTATTTATAGACCATATTCATCTAAACAAACTTTTTTCCTCAAATAGGTTACAGTAGCATACAAGATAATTGTAAGTTGATATGGCACTTAGTTAATATAAAGGTTCTACAGAATTTCCTATCCAATTGCCAACTTACAGATCAAGTCCTAACCACGTCATGTTTAGGTATTTTGCATGGATATTTCTTTAACACAATGAGGAATAATGCCAGTACTTTACAGAAAGATTGTTACTAAAATAAGGGTTATTATTTCTAAGGCCTGAACTGCTACATAAATTCAAGTATGCTAATAAAAAAGTGATATTTATGAGGGAATAAAAACTTTGAAATAAGTTTCACTTATTAGAAAGTGAATGTTATCATTCACTGATCAAACATGTTTCATACTTACCTGATGAAATATACAAGAGATCCATGTGGGAGTCAACTCTCTAAAATGAGAAGAACTTTAAAGTTTTTTTGGAGACGAGAGTGATAGTATAAGAGGTAGGGAGCACACCTTGCATGCAGCTGACCCAGATTCAATCCCCAACACCCCATATGGTCCCTGGAGTCTACCAGAAGTTGTCAAGTTATTCCTGAGTGCAGAGTCAAAGTAAACTCTGAACACTGCTGGGTGTGGCCCCCAAACAAAGATAAGTTATTTTAACCACCTATTTGGTGTTTGAATCCACAACTTTTAGTTTCAGTTCTTAAATTTATAAGTATACTACTAAGTTTTAATGTCTCAACACTTTCCCTCTCTCTCTCTCTCTCTCTCTCTCTCTCTCTCACACACACACACACACACACACACACACACACACACATCCATACATGTATACACACACACCACATACCTAAATTTTTGTCCTTTAAAATGAAATGTCAAACTAATATTTTGCTTCTTCTAATTGTCAATGAGCAAAATTAATTTTGGGAAAATGAGGAAGACCAAGAAATAGCCAACAGGCACATGAAAAAATATTAACGATCATTTATTTGGGAAATCTAAATCAAAGCAACAATAAGATACTATCTCACACTAGTGATAACTGTATATCAAAAATAATGAGAACAATTTGTGTTGGTGGGGATGTGGTGGAAAGAAACTCTCATCCACTGCTGGTGGGTGTGTTGTCTGGTTCATTTCC